TGCCATCAAAGTGCATTTAGAACACTTTGGAAATATTGGAAAAAGAGCTTGTATTAAATTATTTAAAATACAAATAAAACCAATATATTATCTCAATTGATCTTGATATTTTAGACTGACCGGAGGCCGTATTTCTACAACGTCCACAAGCTCTTGCCTGGCTCAGCCATAGACGGACAAAGATTATGAAGTTTTTCCATGCGTATAGCTGGTAAGTTCAGAACTTGTAGAATTCGGTCGGCACCTGAAAAAATATTTCGTGAGTCCCTCTCAATCGTATGGTTCGTAACCGTCCAGACTGTACCATTGCCTTAAGGCAAGTCAGCCCATATACGAGAGAAAAAATTCTAAACAATTTTAGTTAGCTTAACCTGTGAGGAACGTAATGTGATAAATACAGTAGCTCGGTCACTGATTGTGGCCAAACCCAAGTAACACTTAATATAGAGTGTTAAGTCTGAAATAAGTGAACTCAGTCAGAAGTGCCATTGGGAATGGCGCAACTACCATATTTATTAATCACGATCCTATGTGGAACGAGACTTTCTCTACCATCGGGTTATATGAAATTACCCGTCTCTATGGTTTTACATGAGTCATCACTTTTCCCTCATTATTTTCTCTAAAGATTCCACCTAATCGGTCCGGTCCTCTGGTCCAGTCTTGAATATTTCCCTAGGTCCGGTCCTCTGCTCCGGTTCTAAATTCCTCTCTCAGATCCAGTCCTCAGATCCGGTCCTAAATATCCGCTTAGGGTACTTTGTTCACACCTGTCCTCCGCCAGTCATTGCGTGGCAAAGCCCCCGCATGGACTCCACGTCGGCAAAAGACATTCGGTATTGTCCCGAGTATGCCGTGTCCAACGAGAACTTCGACGTGGACGAGTGCCTGGGTCATCTCCGTATTGCAGACATTCGGTCATGTAGAGACATGGCCTGCAGCTTCAACCAACTCAAATAGAAGGAGAGGTCCCGGGGCTACCTGACCCGAGAAGGCCAAGTCTGGCTGCCCATCGCGGGCGTATTCGAAGCCAAGATGATGACGTTTATCCTACAACAGGTCCTCGACCACTTCTTTCGGGAGATGAGAAAACAGCCCATCCACTTTGTTGATGACAGTTGCATAGGCAACTCAGGCCCTACAGCCGATGCCGACCATTGGGTCACCATGGAGCGATATGTGGACATTGCCTGGAAGAACAATATCCGCCTCCGGCTCACGAAAACCCAACTTGTCGTCCTGCGGAATATGCCTATCATCTACTACGGACGACTGTGTAGTAATGGTTACTGCACCATCATTGGAGAACGTAGTGAAGCCGTGCGCCGTTTAGCATCGCAGACGCCTGTCAGATAGGCCTGGGCTCCGCCCTGTTTACCCACTTCCCTTGGCCAGCGAAAAACTCTACAGCATTCCCTCCGAAATAGAAGCATCCGCACACCCGTAAAAAGATCGACGCGCGCACCCAAGCTGAGAATGAAGCAGAACTTCAGTACCTCTGTAGCGTTGACATCAACGGAGACATGCTCCTCTTGGCTCAGTCCGATCGGCAGCTCACAGAGGCCATCGCCTTCAGTCGTAAGATCACAGCACGCATGCCCCGCCCGTTTGAAGAGCCACAGACACCGGCAACCCCACAAGAGAGTATGCAAAACAAGCCCCTGCCCTCCAACTACCACCCCACAAGAAACGCCATGTGTACCCATCGGTCCGTCTGGCGTGTCGCGAAATGCTCCATCGTTTCAACGCCAGACGTCTCTCCTGCCCCCAAGTATTGTTCCAAAAAAAGGATGGCAAGCCCTTCTGCGACCCGCGCATCCATGGCTATACCATCAACGGTATCGACCGCCTCTGGCCTATCACGTACTGGGGTTCGAAATTCAACCCGGCACAAAGGCGCTACCATGTGACTAATCAGGAAGCGATGGGTCTCGGATGAAATGATCATCGTTTCAAACCATCACGACTTGAATGCATGGACAGACCACCTGCCCATGCTGACTTACTTCTCGGCCAGAATGGTGTCCCCCAACGACATGCGGGGCAACAAGAGACTAAAAACATCAGCGTAATAAATCCAAACTGGACTACTTCACTACCGGAGTCCCTCTAGTCTTACACCAATGAACATAAAATTTATTAATGCCTGAACCGGTGTCTAAACCGCGTCCGGTCCATTCGCAAAGACAGGGTCGATATTTAATGGGCCCACATAAGGCGACCCTGGCCTAAGTATTTACCGAACTATTGCGCGTATGCACTTTACCGGTGGCCGGTGGGCAGTCGTGCACTTAAATAATAATATTTTGACATTGTGTACGTGTACACACGTTGAGAACAATGTGAGATGGCTTTAGTTATTTATTTAAAAAAATCATCGTTACCGAAACAACAGTCAAGTATCAGTTTTCAGTACATACTCTACATCTATAACCTGAAATAGAATACAATGCCTTAAGGCCAGTCTTCGGTTATATAAAAAATCGTAATAGAAAAATATAATAGGTGATTTTTGAAATGTGCTCTTGTGTGTTTTAGGCAAGATTGTCGCACACACAAACGAGACTAACACAATCGTGAAGACATTCTTAATCTAGCTATATAATATATTTTTTCTAGCAACGTCAAATACAGAAAGTTGCATTCTATTGATGCATCAGTCAATCTTTGCACAGTCAATCTTTGCATGCATCAGTCAATCTTTGCCTGCATCAGTCAATCTTTGCATGCATCAGTCAATCTCTGCATGCATCAGTCAATCTTTGCATGCATCAGTCAATCTTTGCAAAATCAGATGAAGATCAATACCATGTTCGATCCTCGCATCCACAGAGAAATCAGCACAGGAAAATGGAGAAAAGGTTGTGGACAGGGAAATTATTATTGAGGGTACACAATAGCGGTACTGCAGTAACAGGCAATACGTGCTTTCCAGGTATGCTCAACCCCTTCTAGTCATTTCCTTCTCCGCAACAGATGAATTATGCCGAGTAACTAGAACATGATCGACTTTCTTTAGAATATTCTAATCTCGTACGTACATCGCATCAGAATACAAGCGCATGAAACCTCGGAAACGGAAGTGTTTCTTTTTCAGTTGGAGAAGTATTAGAAGATGGAAGCCGTCTCCCAAGGACTCTCCGGAAAGCAGAATTATCGTTGGGTACTTCCGGCCATGTCTCCGACACTACAGGAGGAAGTGAACCACCGATCTCAGTTTCCAAACCATCCCGAAACCAGTCAAATCATCGTCAAAATTGTCTGAATATAAGTCAGCGGGATGATCCTCGATATCATCGTACTCGAACTCAGTAGCTAGCTAGGTGACGAGCGCATCGTATATGTAGACTAGACTTATATAGATATATTCCAAAAGTAGTTTAAAAAAACTTTCCGTTTCCAAAAGTAGTTTAAAAAAACTTTCCGTTAACACTGAACGAGAGTCCATCCATTTGCAACTTCTCACAGGATCACTTTCCCTGTCACTAGTCCTGTACGGACAGCAAGCAGAACTGACAAGATGATAAAGGCTCAAACAAAGCCTGATGGTAGTAGTGAACACATGTCTGACATAACAAAGAAGGTGTTCCATGAACTACCTGAAGATCTTGTCAGACAAGCGACAATACCGCAAGCTAACCGCAATCGAGAATGCAGGCGAGTTAGGATCACCACTATCCCAGACCAACGAGTCAACCGTCCAAGACTTGACATGCCCATAGGGGGTCCATCCACAGGAGTGGGTACACCCACTCTGGTACAGGCAAGGCCGAGGACGTCTTATCGAACAAGACAATCACAACCCAACCCAGCGAGGACCAAGACCTTGCCCACACTGCGGTATAGACCCTTCGCCACATGCGTACAGCAAGTGCCTCAAGCAAGAAGAAAGCAACCGCCAGAAAGCAGCAGCTCGTGCAGCGCAGCAATCACAGCCCGTCCATCATGTAGACCAGTTAGCCATCACTAATGACAGCAAGGTGCAAAAGATGAACGAAAAACATATTGACAGGCTTGGTGGGCGGAAGCTAACATGATAAACATGGTAGATATTGTGAATGCGCACACTGATGAAGAAACGTTGTTAATAAATGCAAAAGATTTTGCTTTCACGCTGTATTCTTTAATTCCTAACCCACGAGACCAAAAAATCAATGGCACTACATACAATGCACTAGTAGATTCAGGAGCACAACGCTTATGCATAGATCGCAGTGTCGTGACTGAACTATACTCAAAGCACAACCCGGCTACACACAGCTAGCACAATCTGACGCACGAGTACAATGTACAGGTTCAACAGAAGTATGTGATATAAACTACGGAGGTAGAGAAACTTCAATTTGAGGTACTCGACCTCCCCAACAAAAAGTCACCAATACTTTCAGGTATGGATATTTTACCATACTTCGGGCATATATCTAGCGGTGGTAATTAATCCACTCATACCAACAGATGAGAAATGAAAATTACTTCTTACACCACACGAAGAAGACACTGAACATGAGCAAGAAGGATTCAGAGAATCGCTATCAGATTTATTAGACCAAAACGACATGATCTCACCTGACGTATACTGCAATCTACCAGAGTCAGTAGTGGATATACCGAGACAAGGAGCCAGTGCCAAAAATATCCGACACGCTCTCACAAATACATACCACAAACAGATGACAATTTTTAGAAATGGGTGAAAGAGGGACACGTATACAAGAGAACAATACCAACACAGGTGAATCTACCACTACTGTCAACAGGTGAATCTGAACAAGCACGCCCACTAAAGATAGTACGCACATGTTTAGACTTAAGAGGAGCCAAATATCACCATGAACAAAACAAATTTGTATTGCCAAAAATATTTTAGAAGTACTTCCCAACCTAAAAGGTGCACAACTCTTTTCCAAATTGGACATGGCAGGAGGAATCCACCATTTTCGTGTCCACGAAAATAGCCAACACTTCTTTACTTTTTCATGGAGAGGGGCACAATACTCATTTAAGTCAGCACCATTTGGACTACACTCGCTAACAGCATAATTCCAAAGAGTCATGGCCAACCTATTCATTGACATTAAATACGTACAAGTATACCTTGATGACTTAGTCATTGCCAGCCCCACGGAAGAGGAACACAGGGAGACAGTATCGAGAAGTCATCAACAGATATATCTCTGCCAACTTCAGGCTGAACCACCACAAATGTGCATTCGCAGTCAAGACAGTTAACACTTTAGGCGTCAAAGTTACAACACAAGGGCTCAAAACAGACCCTGAAAACAAAAACACATGGATTGGCCTCTGCCAAGAATAAAACGAAACTTACATCGAGCAGTCGGCCTAGCAAATTACATGCGAGACCACATACCGCAGTTTGCACAAATAACGAAACACTTCCGTAATCTCATGAAAGGAAAAATGAACCAAAATATAGCAAACCTTTGGACACCTGAACTCGTTAAGGATGGGAAGAACTCAAAGAGGCCATTGCATGCAAGAGGCCATTGAATGTTGCAACATTGACGTATCTCCAGTAGATAGAGTACCATTCCAAATCATGAATGACGCAAGTGACTATGACATAAGAGGATGCTAATTTTCAAATTATAGACGGGGTCAGACGAGATATACTCTATTTCTCAAAAGGCTTAAACTCCGCATAACAAAGATACGGGACGAATACAAAATAGTTACTAGCGCTGGTATACAGTCTAAAATACTTTTCGAAATACATCAAAGGAGGCGGTATAACATTGTGGACCGATCACAAAGCGCTATGCCAGATGAGTAAACAGCAAACGCTGCACCCCATGCTAGCGAAATTAATAGCGAAAACATTACATCACCACTCTCACAATCCCAGGAAAAGACAACCAAGCAGATATGCTATCACGGTTACACGAAGACACGCCATATAAACATCAAATTTGTTGAAGGAAGCCAACGAGAATATACACAAGGGTCAAGAATATACTGACCTCGAAACAAACATGCCCTTATTAGTAACTGCCATAGACTGGAAACTACATCCACGATTCTACAAAGAAGCAGAATGCAGGTTTGGGAATTCACCATCGATTTGTTTGCAGCAGCACACAATGCACACACAGCAAAGTTCTACACTAAAGAACAAAATGCATTACTACAAAAGTGGGCAGATGAAATAAACGCATGGGCGAATCCTCCCTGGGAGCTAGTCCCAGACGTTCTTGACAAAGTCATAGAGAAAGCCACGAGCATTACAATATGTGTACCCCACTATCCAAATGCGTCATGGTTCCCCAAACTTATGTCACTGCTAGAACAAGATCCTATGATAGTCAAAAACATGAACAACACCTTCCTACAAGGTGGCACAACGGCCCGTGGCAAAACACCTTGGGGAGTCACACTAGTAGCCAAGATAGGCACAAAGTCACCATACTTGACCAAAAAATAGTACATCCAGCCATAAAGATTTCGTCGGTACAAACTGACGACGAGTCGGCAGAGCTAGACACAGTCACATATGAGGACAGAGATACCTTAGTAGCCCAATACCACATTGTGGGCCACTACACCGTTGAAGAGACTGTGAATAAACTTCAATTAGATGGCCACACATGGTCACGCCAGAAGGAACATGTAAACCAATACATTGAAGGCTGTGTACCATAAGCAGGGCTTACACCCTTTACAATCAATAACAGTCGCATTTCCGGGCGACGAGATACAAGTGGACACCTCGGTTCCTTGATAGACTCGAATAGAGGCAACACATTCGTCCTAATTTTGCTCGATGTGCACTCATCATATGTTATACTTAGGCCAATAATGGACAAACCAGCGGCAGCGATCGCACGAACTCTAATTCCAATCATGTGTGAACATGGCTGTGAACATGGCTTTCCACAAGTCATACAAACAGATACGAACAGATCAAGTCACAGAATATATGAATGATATACTCTCGAAAATCATCGAGCAGGCCCTGTCACAACACCTAGTGTATCAACGCATGGTGATGGGAGCAAACGAGCGCTTTCATAGAGGCCTCTTACCCTTGCTGAGGAAATTCGCTGAACAAAAACCAGGCAGCTGGTGTTCACGCCTTTCATTTGTTCAAACGGGCCACAACCTACGTTCATCACGAAGACACAAATCACAGTGATTCAAAGTGTACTACGGATGATGACAAACCCAACTAACCGATTACAACACCAGTCAATGCACCTGGTACAACAGTACCATGGGAAACACGACTGAAGAATTTAAAAGAATCGATTAGACTACAAATGGATGCAAATGTTGCACAATATCAAGAGAAAATGCGCGCAGCATATGACCGAAAATATCAACAAAACGAAACAAAAAAAGTATGCACACTTCCAGGACGGGGACATTGTATTAATTCGTTACCAAGATGAAATGAATAAATGACAGCACCATACGGAGGGCAACAGTTATTTTGTCTGTAACCTTGATGGGACTAAAGCCCCGGAATACCCTACCTAGGTCAGTGATGAATTAGTCGGACTAGTCAAGAGCGCTAATGCTGTGGAGGAATTCACCCCCAATAGTCAAGTACAGCCATCAGAAGAGTCTGTATTTTGTCTCCTCGATACTTTGTGGACAAAGTACCGTAGACGGATATATAGGACCGGACCGGAGTATCGGACTGACAAGAGGAATTTAGGACCGGACCAGAGGACCGGACCTAAGGGAAATAATTTAGGACCGAACCAGGGGCTCGGGTCTAAGAGGATTTTATTTTTATTAAAGAACGGATCCGAGGACCGGACTAGATAGTAGAATATTTAGTTTAGTGAGAAAGAATGATGACTCATAGGATGTCATCACTATTTAGTAACTAGGAGACCATAATCTTAGATACGGAGATTTTCACAATCTGCCGTTGATAGAGAGAATCTCGTCCCACATAGGAACATGATTAATAAATACAGCAGACGCGCCGTTCACACCGGCACTTCTGACTGAGTTCACTTATTTCAGACTTAGCACTCTTTATTAAGTGTCACTTGTTTTTGACTACATTTTTTAGGTGACCGAACTACTGTATTTATTATACTACGTTCTTTCAAGGTTAAATCAACTAAGAAACAACTTAGTATAATTGCTTTTTTTTCAACGATGACGGGACCCAAGACTAGACCGTTACCAACGGTGGGTAAGCAAGCTTGTGATCGGTTGTTGAGTTGGTTGATTCGGAATCTTCGTCTTTTAACCGAGCTATGCGATAAGGTGGAGTCAGTACTTGCCAAGAAACCTGCACCTGAAGATGCCAAGAAGGTCGAAATCCATTTGGAATTAACCCGTTTGCTTTCGGAGGGACAATACTCAATTAAAACCTTGGGTAAGCTTCAACAGTCCCCAAACTGGATTTCTGATGTAGAAGGACACCTGAGTACGATGATGCATGTGCAGGAGGCCACGGACAATATTCGTCTTATTCAAGAGCAACTCCGCCAACTCCGCCAACTCCGTGAGTTGTCACTGGCGGATATTGACACGTCTACACCCCAGGACTTGGACCAGGCGACCGTGGATGAGGACTTTTCTGAGACTCAGACCGAACCGACAGTGCAACAACGTTGGGCTCCTCAACACTCAACACAGGCAGGGTCGACACCCACTCGCCAGTTACATGACGAAGGGGCTAACAACATGAACCAAATTAGCCCCGTGAAACGTAAAATTGGACGTACAAAGTCTATACAACAGGTGGCTTCATACGGTAATGTCCATGTCACTCGCAGAGAGTGGTCGTTGCAGAACGCTCAAAATCGAGCACAACCGAATCCGACCCCTGAGGAGATGCCGGCTAATGGTCCGGATTGGTATCAGGCATCGAACGATAATGTCCATGCTTCTCGCAGAGCGCGATTGTTGACAAACGCTCAAAATCGGGCACAAACAATTCCGACCCCTGATGAGATGCCGCCTAATGGTCCGGATTGGTATCAGGACTCGAAAACTTTAGTGAAATCGCCTGGTACAATTTTTTTTGGAACCTGCGGACTTACACTTGGACATGGACACTCCACGGAATTCATCGTCGTCGGCAAAGTGTTCCTTTGATGCCTTCCGCAGAGTAATGAAGTCCCCGCAGCAACAGATGAAATAGAGTCATGTGGCAACGAACTTATTTCGTGATAGGTTGCAACGTCACCGTAAACCACGTTCACCAGAGGAGTTACAGGAGAATTCTCAGGATGCGGCGAATGTCTCTATTGATACGATTGCATACCGCAAGCACCTTCCTGTTCATCACGATTGCTACTTGGAAGAATCACAGGCAGTGATACGTCATAAAGGCTCGGAACCTACGGAGCCTATCATTACTATATCGACAGCGGCCGAGATGAAAATGCAAGTTTTTCAACTGACCCAACGAATGATGCAGGCAGAAGCAGATGGACGCATAGACGATGCGTGTGCGCTACAGGGTCTAATTCGTGCGTCGGATGAGACTCTGAAGACGTGTTCAAAAACGGTCAACAAACGAACATCGAAGGAATGGCCACCCAACCCGCAGGGTAACTATTATTTGGACAATCCGCAGAAGATACAGTTACACGCTTTTATCTCGGAATAGCACAAAAATGCGCGATTCCACAAGCTAGAACCGATTCATATGCAAATGGGTTTACACTGAGCTCTACAGCATGAAGGGGCTCCTATGGCGCTATTGGATTTATTGTGGAAAACGAGCAAAAATTACAGTCTATGACATTTGAGGATGCCACTGCTTTTATTGTACGTACACAAGAGCAAGACCTGGAGGATAATGCATACCGCCAGGTATTAGCATGCATGAAGCTGAAGCCATCGGTACCGCTTGATACTCAGATTCGTGATTTTGAACGCCAGGTGGAGCTCATGGAAATGCAACAGTATGAGAACCTCTTACAAGTATACCGCAACCGTGGTATACTTAATCTTATACGCCAAGCTGCAGGTGGGGCGTACTACCGGGATACTCTTCAAATGCATCCACAGTGGCGAAACTACTCGTCTGAAAAGATGCGCGATGTATTTTGTGTGAACATTGACAAAGCAGAAGAAAATCGCCAGGACAAGTTTTCGCGACCTCTACGAATTCCGGGGAACTCGCGATCACGTTCAAATTTGCGTACGGAAGCGAATATACGCGCCAACCCGCATGCACCGCCTACATCAAACCCACGGGTTCGTTGTCGATCATGTGCACAAAACATTCCGCCGGGACCAGGACATGCAAGTCGTTGTCCTAACTTACAACGAGTACCGGTCCAGGCTAGCACAGGTAGACGCATACTAAATGGTGGGGCTACAGTTCAACGTACATCGGCTACAAGCACATCGACACGCGGGACTCACGAATCGGGTACTAATTTCCGACCCCGTGTTAACTTAGTGGACGGTGATATTACGCCTGATCAACCAACCACCGAGACGGGGGAGACTGAAGTGATGCACATTCATGATTTGGTCGATGAGTCGTATGTGCAGAGTGACGATGGGTTGATGGAAGAAGAGCAGACACCCGGTGGTTGGGAAGTTGGAACAGATTCGGATTGACAGGCTGGGGTGTCTGATGTGAACATGTGCATGTCATTTGGTCGTACGGCAACAAGAATATTTGCAGTAAAAGAAAAATTGTTTCATACTGACAACCGTGTATATGTCACTTCACAAGTGAACGGACATGACATGCGCACCTTGATTGACACGGGGGCCAACCGTTCAGTCATCACTCAGACATCCACAGCTAAGGCACACCTCTCTATCACACCACCGGCCAAGGATAGTTACATAAACTTGGTGGACAAAGCCTTCAGGACTCCACGCTTGGGAAAAACACAAGCAACAAGGGTCCAGTACGGGTCAGCTGCTACTGAGGGTTGCACATTTGAACTTATGAACCTACTGGATAACATTGATATGATATTGGGTATGAATATTATGGGTGATTTGGGATTAGGCTTAACCGGACTAGTATCTCCATTTCCAGATATTATTCGTATTGTTATGGATGAACTACCGGAACCAATCAATCTTCGAATGGCCCCAGACTTGTCCGAGCCAGGTGATATACGCGCACACCTACGCCAATACCTGGATGCTATTGACACTATTCTGGATGCAGCTCGCTGTACACCTCCGGGTAGTGAAGTGTCACTTCCTATTCAACGGGATAAACTCCTGGGCCTACGTCAGCAGACAAGAAATTTTGTATCTGACAAATACAAACCACATGTACCGAAACAAGTAGACAAATGGGAACACAAACTGGTCACCAATCGTCGAATATCGGCGTCGATCGCTAACACCGTCGGGTGAACTTATTAAGTTGCGCGCGTGCTTGGACCTGCGACAGATTAACGCTCTTATTCCGGGCGATCAGTTTACGCTTCCGAAGGTCAACGAAATCATCAGCAACTTGAAGGGCAAGCGTTACTACACCACGTTGGACTTATCGGCCGCGTACCATCGGTTACCGGTCCACGTCGATTCGCAGCACATGTTTTCGTTTACATGGAACAGTCAGCAGTACTCGTTTACGTCGGCTCCCTTTGGATTGACGACACTCACGTCACAATTTTCAACGGACAAATAGTAATTTGATGGCAGGACTAGACGTGCAATGCTATGTTGATGATCTAATAATTGCATTGGACGATTACGAGGAGCACATTGCTACGGTTCAACAGGTCATTCGATGCTTGAGGGAGAATAACTTCAAACTTAATCAGAAGAAATGTCACTTTGTGGTACGAGAGGTGATGGTCCTGGGAAAGAAGATATCAGCTAAAGGCATTGACGTGGATCATGAGAAGCAGCAACGTTTAATTGACCGGTCAGTTCCAAGACGTCAAAGAGATATTGCCTCTGCGTTAGGATTAGCAAACTTTCTACATGAGCATCTACCGAACTTTGCACACAAGGTAACTCCACTCCGAACCTTTTCTAAACTTAAGCCAAAGGATTCCATTGGGGATCGTTGGAAGCCAGAACATCAATTGGCGTGGGATCAGACGAAGGAGGCTATCGTGTCGGCAGTCAGGTTGAACTTTCCTGTTGATGGTGCACCACTTGAGTTAGAGACGGATGCAGGCAATTATGGAATTGGTGGCGCATTGTTTCAATTGATTGACGGACGCAAACATTACCTGATGTTATTCTCAAAAACTCTCAACAAGGCACAGCAGACATATACAACCCCGATGAAAGAATTATTAACACTTACCTAAGCTTTGGTTCACTTTCATGATCATCTCATTGGACAGCGGTTTACTGTACACACCGACCATAAGGCT